AATTTTCCTCCCTTTCTCCCCCTGACTCCTTCCTCTACTTGGCTTGGCGTTATTTTTACGACTGTCCTGTACAGTACCCCAAAATTGTTCCACTGAGATTCAGTAATTTCCCTCTCTATTTCATGCTTTATCACTATAGAGGTAAAAAGGCGCTTACGGTCATTTCACGGTTTTTTTAGGAAACACAAGACTTTAGCTCTGGTGAAGGACAACAAACCCATCGGTGGAATTTGCTTTCGTATGTTCCCCACTCAGAATTTCACAGAAATCGTGTTCTGTGCCGTCACTTCGAATGAGCAAGTCAAGGTATTCAAATTTTTTTTTGCAGCTGGTAATGTGATGCCATTTTCTTCTTTTGTTAATTAAAGAATAAGAATTAGTGAATAGTATAAATTATATGCGATATTATTTTTTATGTGAAGAAAGAACAATTGTTGTTAAATGTGTACCAAAACAGCGTCAAAGAGATGAACAGAGATGATGGGTCCAGTAGTTCCATGCGAACGATTTCACACTGATATTGTTGGAGCAGTTTTTGATCTGATGTGGAAACTAAACCAGGAGTGGGTAATTTAGTTTATCAACTGAGTTGATAACGTAAATTGGCCACCGTAAAGATTTTAAAAGCTGACGTTTCGAGCTTCAGCACTTCATCAGAGCGAATACAGTTGATCGCAATGACGATTCACTAAGCTACTGCATTCGCTATGACGAAGGGCTATAGCTCGAAACGTCAGCTTTTAAACTCTCTACGGTGGCCAATTTACTTTATCAACTCAATTGATAATCCTAAATTACCCTGTTACACTTTCCCATCGACGCAGCACCACATTTTCTGTAGAAACTTGCCCCCTTTATTCATTTATCCAGGATTGCTTTGGTTTTGCTTTACCCAATAGTTTTTCTCAAAAAATGGCACCACCCGGTTAGCTAATCAGGTGCATTACTAACCTCAGGTCTCGACTTAGCCGCTAGCGCATTTTCGCGCTTCAGATAGCTTTCCATCTAAACTTTGATTTCATATTGGCTCCTGGAGACAATGTTTTCTTATCTGATTGGTCGCCAGGATTGCTTTTGTTTTGCTTTTTCATCGAGTAATCGAGATGTGCCCCAGCAGCGTTATCTCAACGATGTGTTTATCTTAAGCCAACAGCAGAAGAACTTTTGTTCTGTCGACTTAGGAAAGACTTCTCTAATTATTTTTTAGGGCTATGGAACACATCTAATGAACCACCTCAAGGACTATCACGTCAAACATTCTGTTCTGAATTTTCTCACTTACGCCGACGAGTACGCGATAGGTTACTTCAAAAAACAGGTAACTCGTGAGGACTGCGTATTGCAGATTTTGCGTAAAGGGATCAGGTGTACTGTCAATTTTAATGGATCCTCTGGGTAAAGTAAAGGTGAAATCTTCGTCAGAAAATTTCATTCTTGAGGTTGAAAACGTTCCGTGCTCTAAAACAAACGGCACGCTCTAAGCGTCAGGTATTTGCAGTGGTTCTGTGCGACAAATGGCCACCTTTTTATAAAAGGTAGAGTCATTACTTGAGTCAAGTGCCCACATGTTTGAAGCTTGCCCAAGTTTCCTTTGTGTGAAGCGACTAGGTGTATATCTCTTCCCCCAGAGTGGTATTCACGGCCAATGCTGAATACCTCCTGCAGTATTTCTTAAGGCTTCCCCGACAATCCACCATCACCCATTCATACTGATAGTTGGAGAGGTCATTATGAGAGTTTGGTATCTACCCAAGCACTATATTAAGTGATCCATCCAGTTCTCGAACGCGAATGGAATCACACGTCTTGGAGTCCGACGCACTACCGCCATTTAAGCACTGCTTCCGAAACAAGTTTAAATAATTCATTTTTTCCCTCTCCTCCTGTTAATGTGGGGGTATAATAAAATGTCACTCAAAAGCGGATTGTCACTCGCTCACTGTGTGTCAGTCTCTGGTCAGGTGCAAATCAGTTTTTCTCTTCTATTTCTTTTACTACATGTCTTAGAAATATTGAATATATTCCTCAGTTTCCCACCCTCTCCTCCTGCGGAGTATCACGCGCGTGGTTGAGGTTTTCCTTCACTTTTAAACTGCTTTTTTCTTTTTTTTTTCTTCCAGGGGTTCAGTAAGGATATTAGAATGCAGAAGTCATCCTACATTGGTTATATTAAAGACTACGAAGGTGCCACGTTAATGCATGTGAGTACATCTGTACGAAATCACTTTAATTATTGATTTTTTAATCTTTTTTAATTTTTAA